GTTTTGGGTTTAGGGTTTAGGATTGCATGACCCTGGGGCAGTCCTTCTGCCATACGCACCACCCGACTGGGAAAGGAAGGAAGCGCTAGTGAAATGAAGGCCGCGAAGCTACTGCTAAGCACACTTCTTCCACTACCGAGCAGATGCAGCGTGGCAGCGGATCAGGAGGGGGCTTTCCGCAACGAGACACATTCCTGGGTTGGGGCCTTAGGGTTTAGAAAATTAATGGCCGTGGGTAGCCTTCATGGGTTTCTGCTTATTCTGAAACTTTGGCCCCGACAAGTAAGCCGAGCCTAAACCTGAAGCCCAAAACCCTAAACCTAAAACCCGACCCTAAACCCTCAACCCCAGACCCCAAACCCTAAACTCCAAACCCCAAGCCCTAAAACCCAAGCCCTAAACCCAAAATGCGAATCCCCCCCTCCCCCCCCGGAGGCGACCCCACAACCCAAAATGCGACGGGACATGGGTACAATAACTCTCTAAATCGAGGGTTTAAGGGTTTAGGGTTTAGCGGTTTCGGGTTTGGGGGTTTAGCTCTCCGAAATAGTACGGCACCCTTATAACAAGGAAACAGGGACCCTGGTTTAGAGAGCTGCCCACCTCTTGAACCTCCAAAGCCCTAGAGTCCTAGAGCCGGGCTGCATTAGGCCTTAGGGTTTAGTGTCTCTGCAGCTTAGGTTTCCGGGTTTAGGGCTCCACTGTAGAGTTCAGGGTTTAGGGTTGAGGGTTCGGGCTTAGTCCCAATCCCTACGCCCTAAACCCAAACCCCTAACCCTCAAACCCTAAACCCTATAAACCGCCTAAGCCCTAAACCCAAAAACCCTAAACCCTGACCCTAAACCCTTAAACCCTGAACCCGACCCTTACACCCCAGACCCCACCTTCCTAAGCCAGTCCAATGCCCTCGATGCGCTGAACCAAAAACCTTAAACCGTAAAAACCCTAAACCCTATGAACCCTATAAACCCTATAAACCCTACACCCTATAAACCCTATAAGCCCTAAACCCTATAAACCCCAAACCCTACAAGCCCTAAACCCTACAAACCCTAAACCCTATAAGCCCTAAGCCCTATAAAACTCTAAACCCCGTAACCCCTAAACCCTACAAGCCCCAAGCCCCGTAAACCCTAAACCCTGTGAGCCTAAAACCCTATAGAACCCTAAACCCTATACACCCTAAACCCTAAACCCTCTAAGCCTTAAGCCGAAATCACCCTAAACCCTAAACCCCAAACCCTAGAAGCCTTAAACCCTATAGAACCCTAAACCCTATAAACCCTATACACCCTAAACCCTATAAACCCTATACGCCCTATAAGCCTTAAACCCTATAGAACCCTAAACC